CGAATACAAGGGATTCATTTTAAGTCGACGTTTTGGTCTTTCTTGGACCATAATGTGTGACAGTGGTCCAGGATGGACCATAATGTGGACGAACATGTGATAATGGGCCACATCTAACCATAACATATCGTAATGGCCCAGGGCGGACCATGCAGTAGTGGCCCAGGGTGGACCATACAGTAGTGGCCCAGGGTGGACCATACAGTAGTGGCCCAGGGTGGAGCATATAGTGGCCCAGGGTGGACCATGCAGTAGGGACTCAGGGTGGACCATACAGTAGTGGCCAAGGGTGGAGCATATAGTGGCCCATGTGGAGCATATAGTGGACCATGCAGTAGTGGCCCAGGGTGGACCATACAGTAGTGACCCAGAGTGGACCATACAGTAATGGTCCAGGGTGGACTATACAGTAATGGCCCAGGGTGAACCATACAGTAGTGGTCCAGGGTGCACCATACGGTAATGGCCCAGGGTGAACTATACAGTAGTGGTCCAGGGTGGACCATGCAGTAATGGTCCAGGGTGGACCATGCAGTAATGGTCCAGGGTGGATCATGCAGTGATTACGATCTAGGTTGGACTTTGACTTGTGATAATGGTTCAGGATGGACCGTAACTTGTGATAATGGTCCAGGATGGACCGTAACTTGTGATAATGGTCCAGGATGGACATCAGTGTTATGCTCAAATATGGACGGTGACTTGTGATAATGGTTCATAATGGACCATAAGACGTGATTATGGTCCTGGATGAACCTCATCACAGTAATAAACCAGAATGGACCATAACACGTGTTTATGGCTCAGGACGGACCGTAACGCAGTAATGGACCAGAATGGACCATAACACGTGATAATGGACCAGGATGGACTGTAAAACTCTTGCAAGAGTCTCTCAGTGTGAGCCAGTTTCTTGACGCTGGTGAGGGGGGCTCTTGATCCGGGGAATTTGAGCTTTGATCTCCTTGAATCAAACCTTACCTTTCCTCAAGGCGAGTAGGACCCATGAGAGTTTAGCGTTTCCCCATTAGTATAAAATTATCGCATATATGGGGAGGCGCTAAACACTCATGGGTTGCAATGCTCCTGGAGAATGGGGCAACGTTTGAGGTATAAAAAAAAAGGAGAATATAGCTCCAGCTCCCCGGACCAAGAGCTCTCACCGGCATCAAAGACACTCCCTTAAGTCCTTAAGGGAGATTATTATTATTAATTTATTAGTATTATAATCTTTAATTATTATAGTAAAATATATTGTAAACTTAAAAGGTATTATTATTATTATTATTATTATTATTATTATTATTATTATTGTATTTCCTGAAACGTTCAAGCCTTGAGTCATTCAGCTCAGCAGTGGTGTAGGCTCGATCCTCCGTCTGGTTATGGGAGCCCAGAGTGTGGTCAGCTAAGCTGTTGGTGCTCCCAAAATTTGACTAGTCAAGCGTTCGTGTCGAACTTGATCTAAGTTCTGACAGTCTTTAATTTCATTTTAGGGCAGTTTAACCCCCTTCACACGGGAGATGGAGAGAGGAGGGGGGTGGTCTAAGTTCTTTACGTAATGGGGTAAGCGCTAAACCCATGTGGGCGAGGCATCGTCTGGGAAGGCGAGTGGTAATCAAAGCTTGACCCGAGGAAAGGGATGGGTAGCTCCAGTTTCCTGGGTTAGTGCGTGTTGCCATTCTCTATCTTCCATTCAGTCACCTATATGACCTTGTATGGGTTTAGCGCCCCTCCAACGGATATGATAAAGTTCATTGTCTATATTTCAATGTCTTGATTAATGTGTATTTGGTTGAGTGTTCATTTGGTGAACAGTTTGTCTGGTTGACTGTCCTCGGTGTAATTTCTTGTAGGAAACAGTACAGTGACACTCCAGCATTTTAAATGTTGGCCGGCAAGATTTGTCGACAAGTGTGGTGTTTTGTGTGGCAAGACTTGTCGACAAGTGTGGTGTTTTGGGTGGCAAGACTTGTCGACAAGTGTGGTGTTTTGTGTGGCAAGACTTGTCGACAAGTGTGGTGTTTTGGGTGGCAAGACTTGTCGACAAGTGTGGTGTTTTGTGTGGCAAGACTTGTCGACAAGTGTGGTGTTTTGGGTGGCAAGACTTGTCGAAAAGTGTGATAAAGAAAGGTACCACGTGCTGTGCAAATTTTTATCAACAGACAACGTTTCGCTCTGAGATCGAAAAGTGTTGTATAGGTGTCGCGTACTCATGGGTCCAGTTCACTGGCTACACAAAAGAACCTTGTCTGCATTTAGAAGGATTCGCCATTTTTTTTCTCTGAATGATCACATGAAATGCACTGAAATCACTACTGCTGAGTACCTTTTTGAGATCACTTCTGCTGAGTAACTTGCTGAGATCATTGCTGCTCAGTAAATTTCTGAGATCTCTTCTCCTGCGTAACCTTGAAACTACTACTGCTGAGAAATTATAGTTTCAGCATTTTGTCGTGATAAACTATCTGAAGGCTTTTTTTTTTTTTTCCAAGTGCCCTTGCCCAAGAAAAATACGTCTGGTTTACGTACCAAGCAAAATAAGTTTCGGGTGTCGTTGCCTTTTGCGACATTGTTGACCTTTGGTAAACAGGAACCAATGACGTATGTTAGCGTATTGGGTCCCTACACCTTAGACCTACCCCACAGTCATTACACCTGACACACCTGTCAGAGCCACGATACTGTTAATCTTTGGTATGTTAGCGTATTGGGCGCCTACGCCTTAGACGTACACATAGTCATTGCACCTGACACACCTGTCAGAGCCACGATACTGTTAATCTTTTGTAAATAGGAACCAGTGACGTTTGCTAGCGTACTGGGTCCCAACACTGTAGACCTACACACAGTCCTTACACCTGACACTCACCTATCAGAACCTCGATTCTTGAACCAACACAAGCCCCACCATTGCAAATTTCTTGACTAAAACTATACTTTTCTACACCACACATTATCTTCTCCCCATTGCTGTCTGTACCCCTCCTACCTTACAGCCCTGATGACACCTATTCCCCCTATATCCCTGAAGCTGTATGACCCTTAAAGGATTAGTGCTTCCCGTGATAATCTAACACATAGGACTCACTTTATTGCCCCTGGCGTCCGGACCCATCCCTTTCCACCGATCATTCAGTTTCTAAGTAGAAGTCTCCAATCATTCCTGTGCACACCTTACCTCTTGTATTAACATACCTTAACTCACTCCTGTATTAACACTGCTCACGTGAATCTTGTATACTTTAAAGTATTCTTAATTGAATTTAAACCTCGGGTCACAAATGTTATTAATATTGTCACACCTCTATGAAATAATTATATCTATCCTTCAAGGGGTGAATACCTTGATGCTGGTGAAGGCCTCCCGAACAAGGGAATTGGAGTTGTTCTCTTTCCCTGATCAAACTTGATTACTTCTCATTCTCCAGGCGCTGCATGACCCATACTGATTATACTTCCGAATAGCCTGGTAATGAAATACCAGAGCATCTCTCTATTGGCTGGCATTGTGTGCCGTGTCTGGCATTATGCAAAGATCAATGTTGTGTTTACTTGTAAAAAAAAATATTTTTTATAATGTGGATATATTGTTTTTGTCTAGCATTAAGAAATGATGTGATATATATATCTGAAAAGAAAATCCTGTAAAGCTATGTTTGTTGATAATTTTTCGTTGAATGTTTCTGTACAAAAATACGGGACGAAATGTATATTAGATTTAGTAATTAATGTTTGCACACGTGAAAATTATATTTTATGTCTTGACAAAGTCAAAGTTTTTGTATCGATTTTTTGTTGAATTCTCCGTGTTCTTAAAACTGCTACAATAAGTAAAGGCTGAATTTTGTCCAACTAGCATGTACAATCTTGCCATAAAACGTACATTTACAGGTATCCAAATTAAGGTTACACTGGTGTAATACTCGTCTATAATTAACGAAACTGTTGTAAATTTAGTTTTAGTAAAATCATAATACATATATATATATATATATATATATATATATATAATATATATATATATATATATATATATATATATATATATATATATATATATGCAAACAATCGCAGACGGCGATCTTAACTATGCAGGGCTTGTCCTGCATGCATATATATATATATATATATATATATATATATATATATATATATATATATATATATATATATATATATATATATATATATATATACACATGTCGTGCCTAATATGTAAAACTGGTAAATTAGCAAGAACTCATTTAAAATTATGTCTTTTCTAAAATTTTCTCTTATAGGTTTAGAGATATATTTTTTTTATTAATGTTAAAGTAAAAATTTATAATTTTGCACCAAAAGAAACTTAGAAAACTTACCTAACCTTATTATAACAAGCGCAATTTATTTTAGCCTAATCCAATTAAATATATTTTAGATAATTTAATACTAAACAAACACAATGAAATGTATTTTTTTTCGTTAGGTTCAGAATGATATTTGCCAAATTATTGCATACACAAATTTTCGCTTGTTCTATATGGCAAGATGAGCGTTGCTATTTGAGTCAAGATCGCAAGTCTTACATATTAGGCACGAATATATATATATATATATATATATATATATATATATAATATATATATATATAATATATATATATATATATATATATATATATATATGCAAAACAACCACTGTGAAAGGAACTATGTTCGTTGATAATGTGAGAAGCTGCAGGGTTACAAAAGATAAAATCATTATGGACATTACCCAAGATAAGACGCTAATTTAGTAACTTTCATGATGCCTTTGCATCTTTCTTTCTAATTGTTATTCCAATAAATTAATCCATACAGTGAGCGATCATTTTCGTTCATAAATCCCCTTTAGAATCGCCTCGAGGACTATGTCAGGTGCCAGTGGGGGAATCATGAGGCAAATAAATTGCATATCTCCAAACTTAAATCGAGCCTATTTACCTCCTAATCCCAAGGCGCTATATGTACCTACTGGTTTAACGCTCTTCATAAATGTAATAATTTAAGAGGCGTTCGGTCAGATTCCATATTAGTCCCGGATGGACCGAAATGTTCTCGGAAGTTACTTCTTTACATTGTGGGACAGTCTAGTAATTTTCAATATAATTTTTATGTACAAAATTACTCTCCATGATCCGTGGAGAGGATCCATCACCTCCACGTTCACACTTCAGCACTCTCACTGCTCACCAGATTAGATATTTACAGCAATAATTTGAATTTAAAATTCGATTCAATAAAGAAAGTCATTCACGGCTGAGTTTTATTTTCCTAACAGCAAAAAAAAAAAAAATAAATAAATAAAATAAAAATAAATAAAACTGTATACCTTATTGTAGTTTATAGATTAAAATGAGTATATTATTTGCATTAAAACTGGTACTTTCATGATCATAAAATTTTACTTAATATAACAAACATGAAAAAAAAAAAATAGTAATTTCGACTTAATTTGTTTTAGCCTTTTCTGTTTTGGTACCTAATGTCTTTTCCTGAAAGCTGTATTTCCAACTATTGATGTTCCTCATCCCTTCAGATCCCTGTGGATCATGAAACGTAAACTGATGGTGTGCAACTTTCTGCATTTTCGGTTATCTTGTGGCATGTGAACAAAGGGCTTCTTAACACTCACAGAAGTACTGGTTCTCCACCTCCAGCAAGGACAGGCACCGGATGCTTCACCTTTGCAAGGGTAAGTCTGACGTGCCCTCTCCGGGTAAGGTTGGAAAGCCACTCTAAGGAACTTGAAGCATCTCTTTGTATGGCTTAAACCGGTGGGAGAATTGGATTTGCCTCGCATGGGCCAGTAGGCCTGCTGCAGTGCTTCTTCTTTCTTATGTTCTTACGTGGGAGAGAGGAATCGCTCCATGGAAACCCTAGCTCTCTCAACCTGTCTGAGGATTTGGTTGAGCACTCAGGGGAACACCTGCAGGCTGCATTTTTGATCACCTGTGAAGCCATAGGGGTAAAACTAACACAGTTGGAGGCATTTATACCATGGATTTTGCATGGAATTTGTAGGGGCATTGGACCCCTATGTCGAAGACATTTGTATCTCCCTCCAGGACTATAGCTTCTCTTCTAGGAAGATGTGGAGTGGGCGTGAGGTGGACTTGCTTAGCCTCGGCTAGTAGGCCGAAGCTAAGCAAATCCACTTTGACCGGCCTAGCATGGGCCAGCAGGCCTGTTGCAAGGCTCCTCCTTTCTTATATCTGCAGGAGCCTAAACTCGTGGTCATCAGTCTAGATTGAGAAGATAAAATTTTCTAATTTCCTACGCTGAAAATTGGGACTATGATTGCTATTCTCTGAGAGGAAGGGGATCGGGGTCCTTGATGCCGGTGAGGAGCTCTTGATCCCAGGTCCTGTGCTCTGTATCTTTTGGACTGAAACTGAATACCTCCTATTCCCATTCCCTCAGGAGCTCATCCTCAATGGGGGGGAAGGGGCTCCTTGTCACAGTGAAGAGGTTTTTGGTCTCAGGAATTGTTACTTCGATCTTCCTCTGACTGGACCTAAATACCTCCCCCCCCTTCCCACCTTCCTTACCCAAGCCTTCCCATCCCTCCCCTTTCCTGCTTTTGGCCTTTGGGGTCTTCCCCCCAAAAATTGTAGCTCCTAGGTTGGGGAAAGGGTGTCGTTGTCAGTCCCAGTCCCTTAAGGTCCTTGGTGGTAGAGTTTGCTGTGTAATCTGGATCATGGTATAAACCTTGGTAATAAATACCGACAAGTTGGTTTAGAAAAACAAACAAACACTAGGACATATTTATTAGAAAACGTTTCGGACTTTGATCAAGGTCCCAGGACCGAAACGTTTTCTAATATATCCTAGTGTTTGCTTACGTGTTTTTCTGAACCAATCGGATCATCTAGGGATGTCCCGATCACCCTCCAGAGTCCAGGGGAGTGGCTAAGGGTGTCCTTTGGGTGATGGGTGTATCTCTGGAGGTTGCCTGTCAGTCCCGGGAGGTGGTGGCTGAAGGAAGTATGCCTTTCGGCAGGGTTCTGACCACCTTCTCTCTTGTCCACCAAGGAGGCTTTGTGGATGTGAGGGTTGCTATCCTGGATCACCAGTTTACTGGCTTGAAGAGTAGGGTAGGGCACGGGTTCCACACTGAGGGCCATCTTGGGTGCAGAGGGGATATACGATTTCTTTCATTCTTCCTGGGAGCTACCCCTCCACGCATCCCCCCTCCTTTTTTTCCTTTTTTTCTCGAAAAAAAGGGAAATCTAACCATTGGGCCCGATGCCTTGTAATTCCGCCTCCCGGACCCGTTTCTCTTGCGGCACCCTCTCACGACCCTGCCTCGTTATTAGATCATTCTTCGGAAGTCTCTCATACCACGATACCTTCTGCAGGTAACATTTCATTGCTCATCTCTGGTAACGGGGTCCTGCGTGACTTTCTTGATATGTTCACCCTTCTCACATCGTGGACCATGATTCCGGCTTCTCCACGACCATGATCATTAATGGAT